TCTTATTGTGAAGCGCCATGAATTTTGATATGTGCGCTATATAAGTTCCATTATTATTATTATTATTATTATTATTATTATTATTATTATTATTATTATCTAAGGTAAAGGTATATTGGTAGTGCCGTGCTTAACCTCAAACTACATGTTGTTCCCTTTAGTATTATTTCTTTTTTACCATTAAAACTAAAACTAAAAAGGACAGCGATAGGAAACATTGTTTTAACCTCACTAAAACTAAAATAGGAATGCAACTAAGACGAAAAATTTGGCATACCTCTACTTTTGATCTAAGGTTTTTTTTAGTATTTCATCTTCTTGGGGGAAAAACGTTTCATTTATGTCCATAGTAATGGTTTATATCTTCTCAAAAATTACCAACAGCAATGGAATAATACTCAAGAGAAAAACGCGTGGTCTTAAATGAGAAAACATTACGCTCATTGCCGGTAAGAGGCTTCATTTATTTTTGACTAGCTTTAGAGCATCTATATCGAACAACCATCAGAGTTGCTAGATAGACGACCTATCTTCAGACAAAACTATTAAAGAAACGTCTTTGAAACGGAAGTCATGCACCAAATAACAATTTAATCAATTAGGGAATCAAAATACAGTCAGATATAAGAAAGGAAATGTTGAAACCTTGGTAGCATTATCACGACTTGATTACATTAGTTTATAAATTTTTTTTGATAGAATTCACACGCCACGCTAAACTGGTGGTCGGCAAAACATAATCACTAACCAAGCACTGGGCAACATTTTTCAAAGTTATATTTAAAAATCGTGCTAACAGCAAATATGGCTGCATTAGAAATACTTCAAAATCCATCGGCAAAATAACCTCCTGCGGCTATCAGTCTATTTCGCTTTTCTTCGCTTTTCTTCTCTTCTCTTCTCTTCTCTTCTCTTTTTTTTTTCTTTTTCTTTTTCTTTTTTTCTCCTTTAACTTCCCTTTGTCAAAATCTCGTTTCCATTTTTTCTTCTTATCGTTTCGTACACATACTGATCCAAAATTACGACAACTCTCGGTGAACTTGACATTGTTCTAAATCAAGCAAATCGTTTATGATTACCTCTGCAAACATGACACATATCCAGAAAACCTAGTCAACGTGACTATTCAAATAGTCATTATGACAATCATCAATACAAAAGTTCTTCCTAGCCGATAGTATTGTGAGAATCTAATCTAATATTGTTTTGTGTTTCTTCCAACTGGGTTAATGAAACAACATCCCGAAAATTTGCTTATAATTTGATCACTGATTTCCTTTTTTTATTCTACCAGTTTCCTTTTCACCTTGCTTAGTTTAATCATGGTCTAGAAATGCAAGTACAGCTTACCATGGTCCCTTCTACCAGTGTGATATCTACGTGAGCTTAGTTTCTCACGTAAGTAGAGGTGCTTGCTAACTTTCTTCTATGCTCCAGAACCGTTTCTTTTTTCAGGCTCTCTACGTTCCTTTCCGCTAAAATCAATAGTTTTAGACGCTATTTAAAACCACTATGAAAAACATCTCAATTGAAAACTATTAAATTAAACCTTGGAAATTTTTAATGATTTCTGTTCAATTGTTCTGCCGATTACTTCAGAAACTCGGCGACTATCAATATTTGGAAACCTAATCGTCCATGAGGTCCATTCAGCTTGCCTACAGCTATATTCACGTATCTCGGCGACTATCAATATTTGGAGACCTAATCGTCCGTGAGATCCATTCAGTGCATGCCTACAGCTATATTCACGCATCTCATGCATCGTGGAAGTGTCTTTCACCTTTATCTTTTATTTTGTTTTTCGTTTATTTTTTGAGGAAATGGATTGATATATGAATGACTAAGAAACAATAGTCGTACTAAATATAGGATAATGAAGCAAATTGTTTTGTATTATCCCCTTTTTAATTTTGCCGCACACTTTGAAAGCCATCTTCTTGGTCGGTTGATCCTTGACTGATAATAGATTGATGGGAGTCTGGCCTCAAAGGTCCCTGTCTCCTGTATTGCCTATTTTCTATAGGTTCATGGCAGGTCCGATTGTCATCGAATAGAAAGAAAGAATGCATGGATGGGATTGAATGGATAGATTGTGCAATAGACTAGATTGAATAGAAGAGTGAATGAATGAATGCATGCATGCATGGATGAATGAATGGATGAATGAATGAGCGAATGAATGGATAAATGGCAAAAATAAATGAATAATTTGATTGATTGATTAATGAATTTGTGAAATGATTAAATAAATGAGTGATCGAATCAAATGAATGAATGGATGAATAAATAAATTGAATGTAACAAATATATGTAATGAATATTAAAGAATTATTAGGTAGGCTTACGACGAGGAAATTATTTTGGGTTGATTGTTATTTGAATTGCCAAGCAGAAATCTATCGGACAATCCTACAAAGCATATAGGGACAAAACCCATGGTTTAAATGGCTTTGACATTAACATCACAATGACAATGTTTATAAACAATAAATCTACTTACTGATTAAGAAATGAATGTATGGAATAGTTACATACACTTATTTCAATAAAGTTAGTCACCTGAAAAGCTATAAAGCTGAGGCCGACAAGGATTATGGGTAGATTCATTTTACACGTTCAACCGCTTGATAACTGTTCATGGACTTGCGAATCTTTTACCGGTTACAGTCTCACCTCTTCTGAGCATCATCAAGCTGCAGTTTGTATTAAAAAAGCTTTGTATATATATGCTTTTTTGATATGAAAAGTTTTCCATGATGCTCAGTGATCTCAGCTGTCTAGGTTTTTGGTGACTAACTTTATTGAAATAAGTGTATAGTGGATAAATTAATAGACGAATTATTTGATATTTTTTTGGAATGAAAGTAGGGACGGAAGTAAGTGTATAACGTCAATTCTTTTAGTATTCGATAATTTGGTATATTATAGTATGATATGAAAGATTGAAGTTGGTTTATTTGTACGTCAAAGCTCAAATTAATCCTCAAAAAATAAAAATAAATCTTGTAATTCTGAGAAATACTGTAATTATAATTCCCATTTCGCTTAGTCTGGCATGATCAGCTTATAACGTTAAATCCCACTTTTAACATGAACAAATGAAAATTCCTCTCGAGAGTTTTTTAATTATTTTTGAGTACGACTGTTTTTATATTTTCTAGAAATATTTTGATCAATACCAACAAAGTAGCCCAAGGAAAAGTTTCAATAAACTAAAAATACTAAACACAAAGTTATGATAAATTGATAAAATTTATTTATGACAAAATAATAAAGTTGAATAAAAAGCAATTACTGAATAGATTTTGATAAAAGAAATGCATCTTAAATCTATTTTCTTGAAATTTTTCCTGAAATTTCCGCGTTAAAATGAATTTTTTCATTTACATTACATTTTATTTTCATTTAATATATTTGATTTAGATACAGTTTGATATCATTCATCTTTCCTTCAATGTAGTTCAAAGAAACTTAGATTCATTTATTATTTGTGCAATGAAAATTTGAATCTATAATGATCTGTCATTATTTTTAGAAAGATAACAGTATTTGTTGTGCAGCCTAATTTAAATTTTTAATCTCTATTTGATTCTCCTTTTATGCTTCTACACTAATTACGTTTTTCTCCAATGGTAATAAATTCATAGCAGCTGAAAGAGGAGATATTTTCTACGCTCCTTCAGTTTGTCTTGCTAAAAGTCAATGAAAATCCTTTGACAATCTTAGCGGTGGTCATCCTAGTCTTTCAGCTATGGACGGATGTTTTTAATACCTATTTCCATTGAAAAAGCCTTTGAAAGACTTGCAAGTGAAAGTTTTCCTCAGCCAGGTCTTGCTTTAATGCTGAAAGCTAATTTATCATTCGTTTATCGAAGTCTCTGACTAGCGGCAGGGGTTAAGTAAAATTTACTTTTCCTACGGAAATGTGTAGAACTGCTTGTGCTTAAGCTGTGGCCGAATCGAATAATCCTTGTGGAAATTCCTATTTGACATGTGTCAAAAATGCTTCAAGGTCAACACAGCTACAACGACAAACTACCCAAAAAGTTAATGCCAAGAAATTTAGACTAAATCTTTCCAAGTTTATTTTTGGAATAATTTTGGTAAATCTTCTGGAACCCATTAAACCACAATTGAAAGTCATTTTCGTGCAAGATAGTGCAATAAATTGGAAGGTTTGAAACACCTCTTGATCTAAAGAGATAAGAACAGTCGTCATACGCTTGAACCTAAATCTCAAGATATTGCTAAAAAAGGACTCAAGTTGATAATTCTTCGGTAACAGGTTAAAGACAAGTCTACTTTTCCTAATAGCTAAGAAAGAAAAACGACTCGAGGGAAACTTGCGGTTGCTAACGAATTGACTGGAACAAGCTGTCACGAACTGAATGCTTCCTAAAGTTGATTCAAACCAATCTCAAGAAAAATCGGGGGAAAAGTTGATAATTTTATCGTAACACGATAAAAAAAAAAACTAACATTCCTAACAGCCCAGAAAAAAACCCCGAAAACTTTTTTGCCGACTAAGGGTAATTGATTGGAACAAGCCGTCACGTTTGGACTGAATGCTGAATGCTTTCTGGAGTTTCTTCAAACCTTTCCATGATGCCTAACTCGACAAAGACAATTCAGTGTATGTATACTATGTATTTTATTCAAGAACCAAGCTTTGCCATCGGATTGATAACAGTCGTCACCTGTTTTTTGACAGGAATATTGTCCATAACTGGGGCAATGGCAAACTCGTTGGTCTGTGGTGCCATCCTAAGAAACCGCGACCTTCAAAATTATTCCAATATTCTACTTCTTTTGCTGTCGGTCAATGATTTTTTAGTAGCGTTCGTTACACAGCCGTTGTACATTGTTCGACGCGTTCTGGAATCCCAACATTCGTATATTTGTTGGATTACTTTATGCTATCGTTCATTGTGGAATATTTCTATTGGTGTTTCGTTTTTGGTTGTCACATTGATATCATGTGAGCGATGTTTCGCTCTGTTTCATCCGTTCAAGTATAAAATACATGTAAGTGTGCCAAGGTTATTGCTAACCACGCTGTTGTTGTCTGGTTTATGGATCGTCTTTGTTCTTTCGCGTTTCTTCGGTTTGAACAATGAAAGTTACTACTACATCACAACATCTTTGCTCATGATTTTCATCATCATCATCACAATTGCTCATGTCAAAATCTTCATCCTGGCTCGCCGACATCATGTTCAAATCTCCATGACAAGTTGTGCCGCAAGCGAATCCAACGAAACTTCGTCCGACAGAAAGCCTAGCAAAAGACGAAGAAACCACTACACTGCGCGCGAAGCAAAGATAGCTAAGTCCACAGCCTTCATCGTAGGAGCAGTTTTCGTCTGCTACTTTCCTCTCATGATCGCTCTTATCACTAGTAATCTTATTAACCATGAGTATTTATTTCATTATTATGTATTCCCTTGGACTGATGTCTTGGTTTTCTTAAACTGTGTTCTAAATCCTGCAATTTATTGCTGGCGAAGTAGAGAGCTTCGAACAGCTATTGTCAAGTTGATAGGAGTCTTGAGGAAGAAGTCTAAAGTGGGGACAAACCAATTTATCTCTAAGTCCTTTAAAAAAAGAAATAAAGTCAACGGGTCTCAGCCTAAACCAACTGTTGTCCAGTGAAAAAATCTTAAAAACGTGTGGGACGTTTTGACCTCCATAGAACTCGGATACAAAACCTTAGGCACAACATGGTTGTGGAAGTTAGGGAGAATGAAACATTGACAACCTTCAAAACAAATGCCAGCTCAGAGCCATTGTAAAGCTAAAAATACTGAGGTGTATAAGACCTCATGCAGTAACTAAATTTAAGAAAATAAAAATAAATTTAAAACTTCGTCACGAAGGCTAGTGATATTAAGGCGATATTTAATGACCGATCTGTAAAATTAGTTAAAAAGTAAACTCACACACAAGAGCTTAATTTTCTTTACTTTTCCGAGTCAACAAAACATAAACCTTTTACTTCTTCGTTAACACCTCAGTAGTTATGGTAAGCGAAATCCCACATAAACATTCCCTCATTATAAGAGAACACCATTAAATTAAGTTGGTGTCTATTGGGAAACAAACGAATTATTCATAAGTTCATTGCGTTTCATTTGTCTAAAAAAGACTGTGGATAATCCTTTTTTCGTTTTTCTTTTTTGCTATCAGTTGCCTTAATATGCTGCAAATATTTAAACTTATAAGTGTCGAGTTTACTTTACCAATGTGGATTATTTATTCCTTGTTAGCGGCCGCTGTTTTAAGTCAGGGACTACCATCAAACGAGCGGAAAACACCTACCGCAAGTTACGAGCGGAGTTTTTGATTATTCCAGTTTCCCTTAGGTAAAGACTTAATGCCTTTTCTGCAACTTAATAAACTATTATTGGCAATTCATTTGTCTAAAAAAAGACTGTGGATAATCCTTTTTTCGTTTTTCTTTTTTGCTATCAGTTGCCGTAATATGCTGCAAATATTTAAACTTATAAGTGTCTAGTTTACTTTACCAGTGTGGAGTGTTTACTCGTTGTTAGCGGCCGCTGTTTTAAGTCAGGGACTAACATCAAACAAGCGGAAAACACCTACCGCAAGTTCCGAGTTTTTGATTATTCCAGTTTCCCTTAGGCAAAGACTTAATGACTTTTCTGCAACTTAATAAGCTATTATTGGTTACGCCAGGGCAGAGGCTTTAATACGTAGCTCGTGTTAGGTGCTTTACGCCTATCAGACCTACCTTAAGAATTCCGGTAATGTCTTTATACAAGACCATGAGCATGTGGCCGCAAGATAAAGCTGAATTTATAAGAGCCTTTCACCTTTAAGATATTGGCCAAACTAGTTTTATAAGTAGAGAAGACATTTTGTTCCAGGTTTATTCACTCGTAAGTTCAATACTCAGACCTATCTATCTTCCATCTTATGCGACTTAGAGATGCTTGTGCGTTGTCTTCTGTTCTTCGAGAGTTTTTCGGCTTCAGGTGTCCCTCCCTCTCGGCGCCACTCTTTGCAAGTAGTTCAAAAGTTTGAAATTCATATACAGTCAATGTCATTAACGTTGTCCACCAAAGAAATTTACACCTTTA